TCGCAGCCGATAGATTCCCTCAAGTTTCAACTGATGAAACAATACACACTTTGTCTGCTTTCATCAGAACTGCTAATCCTATAGCAAATAAAAATTTAGTACATATCAGAATTTTACAATTAGTTGATATCAAAACAGTCAAACCAAGCAAAAGATTAAAGTAAAAACAAACAGATCATAACAAACAGGTTGATCAAAATATCCCATGGAACCTGCGTATATAAGCTTCAGACACCCTGAGCCGTATTCACAACAAAATCAATGGGAACCCACATGCAAAACAAGATTTCCATGGATGTTGCAGCTGATAGCAGTTCGCTTAACTCTCTCTCCTTTTCTGGCCTCATTTGTATTCAAGATCAGCAATCTAAGTCTCCTCCCAACAGAGCGTACCAGAATAACAAAGATGACCAAGAGTTTGAGTTTGTTTCGGGTACACCTGGTACAAGTCCTCACAACTTGAAGAAAAATTCCCATCCTGACATGGCCATCTCTGATAGTCATCTCCCGCCACTAGAATTCTTACTGAAATCAGGACAATCTCAGGCAGCCAACAAGCCAGGCAACAAACAGTTACGACCAGCATCTAGTGGCAGTAGCAAGATGCCAATTGGCAACCATGCCGATCATTCAAAAGATTCTCATAGATCAAACCGAAAAGTGATAAATCAAGTTAAAAAGGGAAGCACTTCTTCAAGATCTTGGTTTGGCCAGAAATTATTCCAATCATTTGTTTCCCCATGCAGGGAATGCCATGCAGTGAGGCCAACAATGAAAGCACATACCGTGCCATGAGAAAGTACCAAGTTAAATTAATGCAAGTCTATTCTTTCCTTTGAAATTTTTCAAAATTGAATTTGCCACCTGAGATAAAAGAGTTGTCAGAAACAACCAAGATTTTTAGAGTTGGAATAATTGAATAAAGTTACATACAGAGGTTTTACTTTTCTCAAAACAAATGAAATTCTACTATGTAGTTATGGAACTAAATGGTCACTGCATCACTAGATAGCTGTATTCCTAACTTACCATTTTCGCATAAGTTCAGTAAAGTACCAGTCTCTCTCACCTAACAACTCCATTAATATACAAGCCTAAACAACTTGACAATATAAATTACGGCATTCTAAAGAAAATCACAGGGGCAGTCAGAAGCAAGATTTGGAGATAGCTTTCCCAAGAGTTTCCAGGTGTTAATGACCATAGTTTTCTAAATTTAGCAGATATCCCTATGAGAGGGTATCTTTCACCTTAATGGAATGCATATTAAGTTGTACACAAAGTCTTATAATAGACCTTGACACATTACTTCACACAATAGTCTATTTGCAAATCCAATTCTCATTCAAACCTTAATAAAAGGAAAAATTACAGGATAAAGCGTTCTCTAAATCAGTAGCAAAAAGTCGTTTTATTTTTTTCTTTTAATCACATAAAAACTGACCCATGAATTTTGAAGCCATTCTAGTTGTACCTATAGTGATTTAAGCCACAACATTATTTAGGCAAACTTATAACAACAAAATCATCAGGGGAAGGAGCAAAAATTTAAAGCAACTGCTTAGGGATGTCTATATTAAATCACTAAAGAAAAGGTAAGCCTTAAGCAATATGATATGAGTACCTCTCTCTTTAGATCTCCTTCTACAAGTGTGGCAACAATGTAGAGAAGCAACATGCACATATCATCAGTAAAAACAGAAATCTGAAAACCAAAGATAACAGAGCAAGATAAGCCGTAAAGATGATCAAGCAGAAGTAATCTGCCATAAAACTGCCCGATATTTTACACCAGCTTGATCCATAATCCTAAAGTATAAGATACCATAAATATCAATATTCATATTATTAGAACCACAAACCTGAAGTTTCACATTAAAAGTCACCTAAAGTTTATCAAAAAACTCCAAGGTACCATGGAATGAGTTCAAACATTTTTACAACTCATACCGTGTACCCATAAAACATCTTGAAAAGCTGAGTTCAAGACTAGCTGCTAGGGAGTCCCATTAACAGAAAACGTTTAAGTGATCTTACATAAGTCCAACTCAAACACAATCAGTTAAGCATAAAATTGCAATTAACTGTTCCATTGGACTAATAGAAAGCTTAACTCAAGCTCCTTAGGAGAATTCCCAACATGCAGGCCAAGAAGGTTAACATACTCTTTTAGACTGTACCAACTATTAGTAAGGCACATATGTTGTAGAAATTTGTTCAACACACATCTAATAATGGAAACAAAAATATAATTTGTGAAAAAATTTCAGGAGAAAAATCCCAACACTTCCATGATGCTCAGTTTAATATGTTGAACATAGCCTCAAACAAATTGTTTAGGACTTGCCGTATTTATGTACAAATACATAAGCATTCTGCCTAGCATCTCAAGATTTGCTGTATTTATCAACATATCCCTGCAAAATAGAAGAACCAGTGTCAATTCGATGAATGAATAACACTAAAAAGGTACAAATACTAAATCCTAGTACACCTAATTGAAGGGAAAAGCAACATTCACACTTAAAAAAATCTAAATTTTGATTGAAGAAAAGGGGTGGGGTGGGGACTGGTTTCAGTAACAACACAACTTTAAATTTACATCTTGCCTAGTATATTCTAGCTCTCAAATCAAAGACTCTCACCTGAACAAGCTTTGCTATTTTTGGTTGGGATGAAGAAAGATACTGCTTAACTGATTCAAAGGTGATTGGAATTTGATGAGGCTGTATGGCGCCAAGAACCTTGTCAACTGCTTTTTTGACTATTGTGTTATGAGCATCTCTATTGAGATGACCCTCACGCCAAGTTGGTTTCAACAGTTCTTTAATTAAATCTACAAGAGCAGCACGGAAATGCTTCATTGCTTTTGACTCTTTGTGTGGATCCCCATCTGCCTTATGCTCAACATCTATTTCATTCTTTTCTCTACCCCTGCCTACTTTTAAGTCTTTTTTGCATCTAGACCCATCTCTTTGATGTCTACCATCAAGATCAGTATCAATTTTATTTGCCTTTGAAATGTCTTTGACATGAGAGGCAACCGAGGAAATCTCTTCTTTAACCAGTGTTCCATTTTGCATGTCAGCTGCAGAAGTTCCATCATTTGCATCAGTTGTGAGCGAATCTTTTCCAGAGTTGTGGTAATTGTTGTCGACCAAACTTTCAGGGTATCTATTATGACAAGATGCAATTTTTTTATCACCATTACATTCAGGGACCACTGGCCCTGTTGATGTAGAATCACCATATGTTGGTGGATATGTTACATTCAGGAGGGATGGACCTTGACTAGAGAAAGAAAATTTAAGAGACCTCTCTCCTGCATTGGACATATCAATGCTATCACGAAGAGGATTGTACTGGCCTCGTGGGGGTGATATGCTAGAAGTGACAAAAAAGGATGGTCGAAAAGGTACTGATGGTTCCCAATCATCTGAAGAAATTTTTATTCTATAATCAGCAACGTGCAATGGATCCCTGGCAATATCATTCAGATGAAAGTTGTCGTGTTCAGACCTGGAGAAGGGAGAAGAGCTTTGCAGCAAAGAAGACAGTCTGGAAGTATCATGCTCTCTGTCACTGTCCGACACCTTTTGAGCACCAAAAGAGCATGCACTCAAAGAAGAACCAAAAGGAAAGGATCCCATCCATGTTGAGACACAATAAGCTCGATTTTCACTATATGTATTGCCCAATGATGTAACTGAGCCACTTAATGAAGATCTGTACTCAGGAAGAAAACTATTTCTCAAGGTAGAACTACCTCTGTCACTCAGTGAAGCAGGCTTGGTATAACTATCAGCAGGCAAATTCTGACCTATACTATTTAGTCTTACATCCTTAGATGGTCCCAAATCATCTATGGATGCAGAAAATTGCTGAGAGGCAGGGGAAGTGCCCATTAATTTATCCTTACTCTGGAGTAAAGAGAACTTATTAATTTCATGAAATGGATGCAACCGTTGGTTTTCATCATGTCCAGATGGCAGGACTCTTTCTGAAAAGAAATGAGAAGACAATGCAGTCTTATTTTCAACTGATGAAGGCAGTGTATCAGTAGAACCAGGTGATCTTGATCTTTCAGCAGCATTATCAAAACCTGATGTAAGGTGCTTATTAGAATATCATTGTAGAGAGGTTCTGGATCACAAAAACAGGAAATATTTCGTACCTTCATCAAGCTGAACAGCTCCTTTCACATCTGCTGTAGCTACATCTACCTCAGGCTGTTGTCTAGGATTATTCCCACTATCTTTTATGTGAAGAAATCTACATGAACTTCCTTTGATACACCACCCTCTAGCAAAAAAGTCACAGATAATTGCAGGGCGTTTGCTCCCACTGTCCAACTCAGCACCAGGGGACAGACTTCCAGTACTAGTCTGAGGAGCAGCGGATCTGTAAAACCTATTGATTAGAAAATTAATAGATGTATAATCTTGGGAAGGCAGAAATTTACTGGAAAAGAGGACATAACAAGCAGCTTAGATTCAATCTATGTTATAAAGGCATATAGGTATCACCACACCTTGATTTAATCTTCCTTTTATCATCCTCTGATTGCAAGTTCATTTGCTTACTCTTTTCCTTAAAACCTTTAACATCATTAACTCCTCCTGAGTGATATCTGACTGGGATTGTAATGACTACCTCTTTGCCAGCAACACTGGAATGTATCTCACTGATAACTGAATGACTCTTGCTATTACTTTGCTGTTCACAGTGGTTTTCAGGGGCTTTTGTTTGTAAGATGACTCGAGCATCTTTTTCACTAACCACATACTGTTGAGTTGCTTTTTCTTTTGCAGGCTGTTTTCCAGATATTGGATACTTGGAACCCTCATAGTTCATACATATATCCTCCTTTTGAGTCACCAATGGCTCATTTAGAAGAATAGAAAAGGCAAGGCTTTTAGATGGTACCCTTGTTTCAGACTTTCCAGGAGTAAAAGAACCTGATTCTAGGCATCCATTATGCCCCTTGGACTCCAGAATATTACTAGCATCTACATGGAAGAAAAACTCAATCAAGACGACAAGTAAATGAAATTTAAGGTCACATTATGAAAAAGTACTCAATCAGATCCTACAAAAGATGAAGCCTGGGAATTATATTTTGTTTTCTTATAATCTGGAGACTAACATTTAATTTCCAAGCCAAGGGAAAAAGAAAATAAATTGAGGTATCTGCACTGCTGCTTCATTGCAGTACTGCAGAAACAAGTGAAAGATAGACCAATTCAGCTGATACTAACACAACAAGCATAAAGCACCAAAGAACAAGCCCTACAGTAGAGAGAGGTGAGCAACATTGTATAACAGTATGTTATCGCTAATTGTAAACTAAAAAATGGGTATGACATTTCTAGGACTAAACGGACTTCAATAAAGGTAGCCGGAATAGAAAAAACCAATCACATGCTAAACATGCTAGACCGGGATCATGACCTCTAAAGGAAACAACCAGCAGAAGTCTTTTTTGCCAATGCCAAATGGCATTCGTACAGCATAGATGCCATCAGACGTTTTTCTCTAAATATATCAACCAAGACTGCCTCAAAAAGAAGAGAGGAAGTTCCTCATCTCACAAGCATCCCCTCCATGATTTTCAATCAGAAAATCCAAGTCTACAGATTCGTAAAGGTAATTCAATAACCACTACGTGGTGGGAGTAGGCACATGTAAATTTTCCAAGTTTGTTTCCAGGTGGGTTCAATGATCCACATATTGCTTTTCCAGTAATTGACAAGCCGCAGCATAGCTCAGCTCATCGATTGGCGTTTATAATTTAAAACTCAAAATGCAGTGGAAGACAAGCCAGAGATTTGACGAATAAGAATCATATGAACCATGAATACCAAGATACTTAGCTAGCCTCCATTGAAAACCAACATAGTTGTTGAATACTCATAAAAAGATTCTGATTTTTTTTATCGTGCACAAAATCATTAAACCTTTCTTCCAACATTGAGAATTAATGTTTTTATATCCTTTGCTCCTCCTGTAGCTATAATCTTCTAAGGCCAATACATGCAAATACTTAATCTCCTATTACAAGACTCAAATGTCATAAAACAAGAAACAAGGGTATCATCATCATCATCATCATCATCACCGTCATCATCATCCATACACGATCAACGTTCAGAATTAATCAATCAACCAGTCAATGGTTTAAGATTGACTAACCGTCTCGATTCGAAGACCCTTGCAAATCCCTTTCTTCTTCTTCTTCTTCATCGTCGTCGTCGATTTCCATATCGGAGCTGTTGATTTCTCGCTCGGTGGTCGAGGTGGCGCGTCGCTCATCGTCCCTCTCCGCGCGTGGAACAACGACGGAGGTTGACAGAGGCATTGCGGCTGGGCTCGGTACTTTTGACGGGGTCGTAAAAGGAAGAAAGAAAGGCAGAAAAAGGTGATAACGCGATGCTGAGCTGCGCACTCAAAGAGTGATTGTCTTTCATCTTTCTGCCATCTGGAGGTCGGTTATCACTTGGATGAGGACCCCACTAGCTTCTTCTCCACGCGCTTTTATTATCACTCTCTGGCTTTAGCCTTGCAAAGATTTGGACCATGGTCTTTGGGCCTTACTTTGGGTTTAAGTACTTGAAGAAATTGAAAAAATTTTAATTTAATTTCGCTATTTTATCACGAGGTATGGGTGTTTCTACATTTTTATTTAATTTTAAATAAGATGTAAGGAGATTTAAAGTAAATAATTCTCTTTTTTTCTCATTAAGAAGTAGAGAAAAATATGACTGAGTAAATACAAAATCTTTTCAAAATAAGAAAAGATGTAAATTATTATTCAAATTTTATCGTATTAATTATTTAAGTAGATTGTCATTTAAAAATTTTAATTGATATTGTTAATATTTTTCAAGACATCTCTTAATAGTATTTAGAATTTAGAAATTTTATTATCCTTATCTTTGAAATCAAAATAAGGTTTATGTAATGAAAATTGTGATTTGCTTATTTTATCTGGCTCCAAAGTCAACAAAGATTGCTCAAGTCTAGAAGACGGTTCTTAAATGTGAGGTAGACAAACGATCGAAGAGGAAGAATTTTCTATGAATAGATGAGACAATTAATTTAAAAGAATAATAATTAATAATTTTGTATCATGATTCAGTAATTAATGTATGTCTTTTTATATTTAAAAAAATCTTAAAATGAATAACTCTTAAAACTTTTATTTCTAAAATATTGCTTTAGGGTTGTTTTTTCCTTGTTCTATATATATAGAAATATTAAACATTGAATTACTTTTCACAAACATTATCTGCTACTCTCAATATATGAACTTGATGTTTCCACGTTAGGAATTTCGAGTTCTACATTTTGAAATGGATTTGGTCGTGATCTGCTTGTAAACTTGGTGAACATAAGAACCAAAACCCTCAGCACAAACGGCACTACGACTGCAATCAAAACGTAGCGGAAATGCACTTCTTCGGGGGTGATAGCGAAGATCGCAGAAGTATAAGTCGCGAGCATGGAAGCAGCAGCAACCCGTATCTCAAGTTGGAAAGGGAACCTGTGGGTGAGGGAGACGATAACGAATATCGACGTGGCAAAAGCTATGGTGTTGGATATCAAGAAAACATAAAACGCTCCTGGCTGAGATGCATAGATGGCTCTTCCTGCACGGTCGCTTCCATTCCCATCATCTTGCCAGACCCCTCCTGGAGGAGTGACTCCTGCTTGAAATGTTACCGTAGCGATTAGAGCGAACACTACGAGAAGATCATTCCGTGCTTGGGTTGGGGAGTCCTTGCTTTCTTCGAACTGGAAATATCTGAACCAGCTCCTGTTTATACCCACGGGAGGGCTGGACATTTTCTCGTAATGATGAAGAAGCAATAATGACTGTTCGGTATTAAATAGAGCATGGGGTTGGAATTGTTCTTCCTGATTAGCAATGCTTGTAATACAAGTCAATTTGGAAATTGATGCATGGTCTACGGTCTATGGTTTTCTGCACCCTAATTAAGACTCCAAAAGAAGTAGATGGCCAACACGTGGATTGCTGTTTGCTGACTAATTAAGGATCCCAAAGTTCTACACAAAAATAAATAAACAAGAACCCAAATGAAGGCTGTGAACAATACATGGATTTTCCAGGAAATTATTTGGATTGGCATTGAACAGAAATAACTCAGAGGAAAACCAGCAGTCCAACCATCTTCGGCTGCTACTTTTGATTTTTCATTTTTTCATCAGATTGCGGGGCAACGTAGTTATTGCGCCATTGGAGGGTTTGCTTGCTCCTATGTGTGGCTTGGTAAGCCAACTTTAAAAAGATCAACATCTAAGAAAAAATGGACCTTTTGTTGGGCTCAAGCCCTTATCTGCTGCCTGCTTGCTGTACCGTTTAGGACACAGGTCTAACAGGCCGGTTCTTGTGTCTGGGCCACATATAAAGAACCATACTTCATCCACAAGTCATCCTTCTGTTTCTTTTTTTAATTTATTTTGGAAAATGGAACTTCAATCATACGCAAAAGTATAGCGTTTGCTACAAATATCAAAGATTCCAAGGAACCCAATCCGATTAATTTAATGGAAAGTTAGCTGTCTGAAGTCTGAACTCAACGGAAGCAGCCACAGTCCCAAGAGATACACAACCCAGCAGGAGACTAACATGACGAACTTTATTACCTTTGATATTGAAATATAATTTAATCAAACATGCAGGCAAACCTGTCATGCTTAAGCCTAGCATGTGTTACCCCCAAACCACCCAGGGCCCAAGCCTACCTGCTTGGAAAGCGAGATCAGAGTTCTCTCTCTCTCTCTCTCTCTTCTTTGTTAAGTTTAGTAAATCAAAATCCATCACATTCCAATTCCATATAAAGCAGCATGGACGAGGGAGGAGATTGTTGCTTACTTTATTATAAGGCTGGTTTACAAGCTTATTAGTATTTTATATACTCTTTCATATTATAGTTAAAAAAAATGCAAAAGGGGCAACGCTCGGTTGCTTTTACCTTATTTCGTGCTTGTCCTAATACAAATTAGACAAAATTACTTTGGTCCATGCATGCATGGGATTCAAGTCCATAACCAATTATAATCTCTTGTTATATATATCCACATAACTAAACAGACCAAACATCGTTTGTCATTAACAAAAATACACCAATAAAGAAACTTTTTATTAAAAATAATAATATTTTTTTATTTTTATATGTATTGTTGTAATGTATCACTCATTCACATTATGTGTAAGGTAAACCTAAACAACTTCAAGACAGGATTATTATGAATAGAGTTATAAACAAATTTGACATGCATGAGTGTTAATTATTTAAAAGATTTATATTTGATGTGTTATCGATTTTTAGTATCTATATATTATCATAGTGTTAATTTATAAATATGTAAAGTTAAAAAAATCAAAAGAATATTTATTTTTTAAGATTTTTAATTTTATATTAATTAATTAAATGATAATATTTAATTTACTGAAAATATATAGAGTAAAGTATCAATTATCAAATATAAACTTTTAATCTAAATTATGAAAAAGTAGGTGTTATTCTGTTCATAGTATATTGTTATTAAACCAACTGCTTTACCCAACCACATTTGATGTTTATTAAATGCCCCACAAATAGAAAGGTCCTCATTAAAGCATCAAATTATAAGACCTAACTGTCTATTACTGTAACCGTTAGACATAGTTAATGCATAGATAGTTATTTATGGTTTGCGCTTTTACTATAATAAAACTTTTTAAAATATTGAAATGTAAAATGTAAAATGTAAAATTAAAAAAAAACATAAATAGCTATATCTTGTTAGCATATATATATATTACTTTGAAAAATTAAAAAAGGGAAAATTAATTTAACATTTAAATAGAAATTATATCATAAATGCAAACAAAGTTCTTCATTAAATGAACTGGTTGGTTTAAATTTAACACACGCTTCAATGCCATTGTCACTTTATTATTTCAACTGCAAATAATTTCAAATTTCCATGCAGACGACCACCATGTATTTGTAATGATGAAGTCTAGCAAACTATTGCTTGTAATGGGGGGCCGGGGAAAGAAATCCTCATTTAGTTTTTCCAGAAAACAAAAATGATAGAACCAGACTCTGGCAATTGACCCGATTTCTTCGTTAAGTTGCTTGATGCTTACTTTTGGCACAGGACACTCCGCGGATTGCGCACCAATTCTTGCCTGTATATTTAGAGGTCAAAAAGTTGGCAAAATAAACTGCTCCACTCTGCCTGGGCAGCAGCCTCGACCATCCGATCAGAAGTCGAAAAATAAACCTATAAGGTTATTTACGTAAATTCATGCATCAGCCAACGAATTTTCCCATTCGTCCCCGTGAACTATTGCACTCTTCGCCTCGTCACGTGGCTTTTGTCGTCTGCTCCACGATGGCATATCTTACGTGGGAATAGCAAAAAAAAAGAATGAAAAAGTAATTGGACATAGCAACTACCTCCTCCCACCAGCCCGCAAGCATCCTCTTACATCACCACCAGTAATATGTGGTGGGCCCCGCATATTAAATCTCAACCATCAATCAATTCCGTAGCAATTCCGACGTAGACTGAACATATGCCTATCACCTTTTAGCGCCGTCCGATTAAAAGGTCCATTAACGATTGATCAAGCTCACTGGTACATTAATATCACCTAATCCGTTTCACGAGTCAACTTAAGCAGGAAAAAATTAAAACTTTTCAACTGTTTTGCTGCAAGCACGTCCCCAGCACATTACTAAAAACACAGGCACACAGGCACACACACACACTCTCTCTCTCTCTCTCTCTCTCCCTCTCTTAAAAGCTAGAAAAAGAAAAAGATGGGGAGGATGTGAAATGAGGCCATAGCGGAAGAAGGAAAAAGAAAAAAAAAAAAAGGAAAAGCAGACAAAGAAGAAGCAAAACGAAGCTTAAGCTACGCTAAAGATGCTGAGATTTACTCTCTTATGGCTTCTCGTTTTCTTTTTATCTCTTTCTTCATCTTCAGCTCGGCCTGGTTAGCTTCCATTACTTTTTTGTTATTTTTTTTTTTAATTTGTGATTTAATTTTGTTGTTTGGATTGGTTTTCTGGTTGCTTGGAGAGGCGGTTAGGTGCTTTTCAATAGTTGGATTATTTGCATTTTGATTGAGCTCCTTATAAACGAGTCTTGATTTCTATAATTGAGTTTATGGTTCATTTTTTCTTCGGACCATTGGCTGGTTTCTGAATTATGAACTTTTTGTTTAGCGTTGATGTTGATGAGTTGTGAGATTGATTCGACAGTAACGAAATCGGGACATACGAATTTTTTTTGTGTGGAAATTTGAAGTTAAAAATGTCTGGATCAAAGTAAAAAGGTAGTTGATCGGTTTGGATCCCTTTTGAATGCGAGAAAATGTAGGAAAATGATCGAGAGAAAATTTTAATTAATTGTTTTTTATATTATGTTTGACATTTGACTGGAAGTAATGAAGGAATTAAGCTACACATTAATTAAACAAAGCAAAGGAAAGAAAACAATTCTTCAATGGCCAAACAGGGGAATGGTATGGATTGGTTGTGGATTCTGTAGGTATGCTTGTCTGCTACATGCTGCTGTGAGTCATCGCTTCTTACAGAATGTTAGTAAACTGACACTATACTGCATTAGAACTTTTTCTTGTGAAATAAGAGAACAAAAAGAGTAATGTGGAGATTTCAGGTGGAATAACTTATCATATGTGCACTAACCATTTTGCAGCAATGAATTGTAGCTTACATTTTGTGAATAAGAGAGTATTTGCTTTTCATGTTTGTTTCTTATAATTTCTTCTTATTTAGTTGGTTTTTGATACAAAACTTAGTCATGTTGTCTTACTACAGCACCATTTGCTATGCGCATAAGCTGTGGGGCTCGTCAAAATGTCCAAACCCCTCCAACCTATGCACGTTGGTTCAAAGATTTTGCATACACAGGAGGAATTCCAGCCAATGCAACAAGACCAAGTTTCGTCACTCCTCCACTAAAAACACTTCGCTATTTCCCTCTATCCGAAGGTCCAGAAAATTGCTACAATCTTAAGAGAGTACCAAAGGGACACTATTCTGTTAGGGTCTTCTTTGGATTAGTTGCGCAGCCTGATTCTGACAATGAGCCTCTATTTGACGTATCTGTTGAAGGCACCTTGATTCACTCTTTGAAATCAGGTTGGACTAGCCATGATGACCAGGTGTTTGCTGAAGCCCTGGTGTTTCTTTTAGATGGCACAGTATCTATTTGCTTCCATAGCACTGGTCACGGAGATCCAGCAATTATTTCTATTGAAATTCTTCAAGTTGATGATAGAGCATACTATTTTGGTCTAGAGTGGGGTAAAGGTGTAATCCTGAAAACAACTTCAAGACTGACTTGTGGCACATCAAAGCCAAAATTTGATGAAGATTACAGTGGGGATCATTGGGGTGGAGATAGATTTTGGCACCCCATCAGGACTTTTGGCCAAAATGCTGATGAACCTAGATCAACTGAAAGTGGCATTAAAAAGGCTTCAGATGCACCAAACTTCTATCCAGAAGCCCTTTACCAAAGTGCAATTGTTAGTACTGATAGTCAGCCAGATTTAGCTTATACAATTGATGTGGAACCCAATAAGAACTACTCAATATGGTTACACTTTGCAGAGATTGATGCTTCAATCAGTGGTGCTGGGAAAAGGGTATTTGATGTGCTGATAAATGGTGACACTGTATTTGAAAACATAGATGTTGTGGACATGAGTGGGGACCGCTATACTGCACTTGTGCTTAACACAACTGTTGCTCTTAGTGGGAGGACTCTGACTATAACCCTGCGCCCCAAAAAGGCCAATCATGCTATCCTTAATGCCATTGAAGTCTTTCAGGTTATAGGCGCTGAGTCCAAAACTTCTCCAGAAGAAGGTAATGCTTGCTTCTATTAATTCTGCCGACAGTTTATTCTGTGTGTGATAGGACCCAGTATTGGAAATTGTTCTTTTTACTGCTGATGAGCAACGTTCTTTTTGGAAGGTGGTAGAAACTTACTAACTTGTTAATAATTCCCGATTCTAGTTAGGGCTTTACAGGCATTGAAGAAAGCACTGGGGCTTCCTAATCGTTTTGGGTGGAATGGAGACCCATGTGTTCCCAAGGAGCATCCATGGAGTGGAGCAGATTGTCATTTTGACAAATCTGGCAGCAAGTGGTTCATTGATGGCCTGTACATTCTTGATCTTTTGCCTAATCTATGAGTTTTATTATTGTTTTCATATCATCTCGTCTTTTCCATTTTCGTCTGTTCATATAACGATATTTTTTAGGAAACTGATGCCTATGCTATGGCCTCTTCCATTGTTCTTGATATTATAGCTTCTATTCATATTTAATTTTCGGTAAAATGATGACAAAAAAAAGAATTCTAACATAGACAATCTACAGAACCAGTAAGCATGCAAGTTTCCACCTTAAGGAAGCTGTTAATGTAAACTGTTTTCAGCTTTTTGCTATCATGCTGTAGAGTTTGCATTCTTAAGCTTTAACCTATCATTCTAGCTTGTTGGTGTCTTGTTCAAATAAATAGTGAGAACATGTGTGATATACACAAAGACAGACACACGTACACACCCAACAACCTGTGTTGAAGTCTTTTGCCTTCTATCACGACCACTTTATTTTCTCCCTAAAAGGTCTCTCATATCTTGCATTAGTTTTTTATTAACACCACTGCTTGTTTAGATATGAGAAGCAAGTGTACATTGAAGCTGCTTTCATTTGATCTGGTTTCCCTACTATACTCTTTCCATTTGGTTTTCCCTAATTCATTCAGCCTGAATTTTCTGCACTTTATTCATTTCTACATCATCTGTGACCCCTAAAGTTCTAGATACTGTGGATGCATGAATGACTAAATACACCAGAAAGTGTTTCCTAGTAGGGGTGCACATGTCTACATATAGCAAATGTTTCCTAGAATATAAATGTTTTAATTGCAACCTTATGATGAGATTCATGCTAAGCTTAAAATACAGAGTCTTCATCAGTTTTACTGGTATATTATAAGTAATTGCCTTTTGATTTCTGCATGACCAGTGGTCTTGACAACCAAGGTCTAAGGGGTTTCTTGCCTAATGACATATCCAAGCTACATCACCTGCAAAGCCTGTAAGTACAAATAGTTCTCCATCACTTTCATTCCAATTGCTTTTATTTGTTATTTTGTGCATGAATCATGATCTGAGGACAGGTTCTGTTTCTGCCTCGTCAGTTTGTTGTTATAGATCTTTGTAATATAGGAGCATTGTCAAAAATTATTTGCCCTTGTTTGCTTTCACAAACTGTTGCCAATTTTGAACTTATTTTAAATTTTACAATAGATGAACCTCCTATAGGCCATATGTATGTTTCTCTGGTTTATGGTGTACTTGGCTTCGACAGAAACTTGAGTGGAAACACAATTCATGGGGCCATTCCATCGTCACTTGGAACAGTCACCAGCTTGGAAGTACTGTAAGTGTAGCATAATTTCTTGTCCTTGAAGATAATTTTGATGGTATTAACTCCTACATGTCACATACAAGACTCTTTAAATAAGATAACTTTTAACTGTTAGGACCTGCTATGTCACTTTCATATATAGGACAACTTTTGTCTATTTTTTCCATGAATGATAGATTCTGCTTAAGTTGTTCGTTCCCTTTCATCTTTAAAGACAAAAACGCTGCAGTGGTGGGATGAGTTTATGCAAGGACCCAAAACATTTATTCATTAGAACTTTTATTTCCCAAGTTATCTGGTACTTAATGTAGACGTGCTATTGATTAAAACAATGTAGAACTTACTGAATGTAACCTTGTTCGTATTTTCTGCATGAACATCTGACATTCGGTTTGATATAAATCATCAAATCTAATATGTCGTTAGATCAATGATGAATTTGGGGAGTCATACTGTTAGTTACATTCTTCTGTCAATAGCCATCATGCTTGAAAGGATGCTAAACTTTGGATGCAAGATAATTTAAGTTCTTCTCTCAAAGACAAGTTGAATTTTAAGTCTAATGTAGGATTATGAAAAGCAAATATCTGTTCATTTATGTTTCCATAAACTTTATACATCTTATTGATATGATGTCTGAATAAAAATTGCAGGGATCTCTCCTACAATTTCCTCACTGATTCAATTCCTGAAAGCCTAGGACAGTTGACTGCACTACGCAAACTGTAAGATGTTCAACTGGTTGTTTAACCCTGGAATCTAAGCATATAAAGGAGTCTCATATAAGTTGTCATTTTGCAGAAATCTTAATGGCAACTCTCTGTCGGGAAGAGTCCCAGCTGCACTCGGAGGAAGGCTTTTGAATGGAGCTAGCTTCAAGTATGTTATCAGAATCTCATTAGTGTTGGTCTGAAGTGTTAACTCTATGAGGAATGAAGTTGCCACGTAGTGATGATAATTAAAGGGATACTTATATAAGATGAGAACAAGAGCATGCACTTACATTTCTGTTGTTGCAAGTTCTATACCAGATACTTACTCTAGTTGCATGCAGTTTTACTGATAATGCTGGTCTCTGTGGCATACCTGGACTACCTACATGTGGACCCCACCTCTCTGCTGGAGCGAAGGTTGGCATTGGATTTGGCGCATCTTTATCTTTCTTACTTCTTGTTATCTGTTCAGTGTGTTGGTGGAAAAGGCGGCAGAATATTCTTCGAGCACAACAGATTGCAGGTTAGTACCATCAGGATAAATCTCATAACAAATGTAACAACTTGATTTGGCCCAATAACCAGCTTGAATGTTAAAACTGTTGGAATTAGATCCCTTGGACTGGTTTAAACATGAGACATCCTTTGGTGATTAGCACATGCAATATTGCTCCTCTTACCACAAATATGGGCTGAAAAGTTAAATCACAGTTTGCAAAGCAGAAAAATACGCACACTATCACTCAAGCAACATTTATTGGGTTTCTTTCATTGTGTATTTATAGTTTGTTCTCTTTTGCAGCAAGAGGTGCTCCCTATGCAAAAGCAAGGACCCAATTATCGCATGATATCCAGATGTCAAGACATCATAATCATGGCCATGCTCGGACTGCTGTTGAGAATGGACCTAGCTTGCTATCATGACTAATACTCTGCTTCGTGTTTGGGTTGCTGGATTCTCATTTATTCAGGACCATGAATTGCGGAACCAACCTAGTTGATTTGGCCCTCACTTTATTTAGTTCAGGATGCTGCCTAATCTTCTCTCCGTTGGAAATCTCAGACTGGTAAAGATGCAAAAGCCCTACAGAATCACTTCTAAATGGTCAGATACCCCACTACTGACACACTAAATGCAGCAAAGTGAACCATCTTGTACATTGCTTCAAATTCTTTTTCAATCAATTTTGGCAAAAAATAATGTTGTAACATATTGAATAACAAGTGCATATACAAAGCCAAATATGTTTTACCTAATGCCTTCGTCCCCCGCTCCCCCACCCCAAACCTTGTCTATACTGAATTCCAAAAGGAAACCGATGTCTACTGGCTTCATCAGGTCATGGCAGAAAGGAAACCGGGGACACTCAAAAGTTGTAAGCTTATTTTAGTCGTTTGAATTCATTCTTATTGGTTCTCACATGTTCAAATTTCTTGATTTTCTTTCTCCTTTTTTCAAGAGACTCGGTCTGTTTTTAGAGTGTCAGCAAATGTGTATGTGCAACTGGTCTGGTTTAACCGGTCCTCCATGTTCTTGTCCCACAAATCTATAAGAGACATGTTTTCGCGGTTTACATGATGTTTGACTGTGTTGTGTGGTTGAAGGAAATTTGTTCTGCATGTTGGCCGACCGAACACACACTGTCAACATCTCAATGAAGTGCAAATAAAATTTATTTTAGGTTTTTGACTCTTCGAGGAAGTTGAATTTTGACGTCAAATCCGTATGGAATGACGTTATGCTTGGGTGGGATAGGACCGGGAATGGATGCGTCTAAATTTCAATTGAGCTGGGTGGACGGTTGGGCTTTGCACCAATGCAACCAAAATCCATCCTCCCAGTAATTTATTGTCATTTTGTACTGAAGAATTGTGCCCCCCTACATGGATTGCCGTTCAACACGTGTCATGATGCAACAACCTAAAAGACATTCAAAAATAAAAAATAAAAAATAAAAAGAAAACAAAACCAGGAAAATACCTTCACGTGACAATGTGTCAGTCACCTGCAGTCATTCACCCACATCAACCCGTCTCACCGTACACTCTTCCCAGTTTCCACTTTACCCATTCTTTCTCAGTTTCTCGACCCCTCCTCACCCAACCCAACATCTGGACCACCTTTTTTTGCCTGACTCCACGCCCTTGAAACCGCGTCAAACACGCCACCCCCCAAAATTAAACTCACTCAGTCCCCTCCAACCCAACTCGGTCCTGTCTCCTGCAACTCAGACACCTCCTTGTGTACCTTCCACGTGGGGTCTGCTGCCATCGCCCCCCCTTTCTGCTAC